AAAAATCTGAAACATCTATTCTGTACATTTTTATAAAAATAAAAAAAAAATATTTTTTTTTATTTCTTGACTTTGTTGTTGCATTTGTTGCATTTGTTGTTCTTGAGCTATTTGTTGTTGAAGTTGTCTTGTAATACAATACTTTCACCAGTTGCATCTTCCAATTCGAAACTTTCTGCCGTCATTGACAATACATAGGACATAAAAGTTTTACAGGAACAAAGTTTGCGTCAACTAATGTCAACGTTATACTTGCCAAAGTGTTTGAGTTCACTAAGGTTGAAAATTCTGCATTCGAATGAAACAATAGGCAAACCAGCAGAGAAAGTATTGTTTATACGCATAAGTATCTTTTGGTCATAATAGTTTCTGTCGACATTCGAATAACACTTTGAACCTAAGTTTGAAACAATATATAAGATTGGTGTGCTTAATGTCAATGGAATAGACATTCCTTGTATGACACCTTTTCCTGTTATAGGAAACTGTTGGTAGTAAAAACCAGAAATAAGTTTTGTATTATAGCTCATATTGTTTATAGTAAACTCAGTCGGACATCCAAACATAATGAAACCTGCTCTAGTTGCAGCACATGTTACACCTGTACTTAAAGTATTAAATAAGTCAACAAAACCTGTTGGTGGTATATCTGAGTAAGTATCTTCAAAGGAGTATTTTTTACCATTCACACAATAAAGTCTTCTGGTGTCAAAAGAGCAAAACAGGCTTTAGTCGTCATTGTGTTTAAAGTTAGTTTACAATATCGTCCTTGAGGACTTTGTAAGTTTGTTGTTATAGAATTATATGACTCAGGGTTTTTAGTCGTAATAGTATAAACCATTATATCTTCTGCCATTATATATATTTAAAAGTTTTTCTGAAAGTGGAGAAGAACTTCATCTAAACTTTCACATGGCGTTTCTTGAAGTTCTCTGTCTAAGAAGTTCAAATATTTTGTAAAGACATAGAACTTTCCTTTGTCTACACGAACAAACAAAACAGGGTCTTTCATATCGTTCAAAAGTGTGTAAAGTCCTTTACATGAAATAAAGTCTATATTATTTTTCTTCAAACATCTTTCAAGAAGTTTTGACATTTTTACTTAGCAAATAAATTTTAATGAAATGTTGTGGTCGTCAAATATTTTTTATGACGTCTGGGAAACTATACTTTAAGTTCAACGTTTCACCTCCTTTCATAACGTATATCTTGTCAATGACATTATATGAAACACCACAGCAACTAATGTCGGGTTCTATTTCTTTGATGTTTATATCGTCTGCCTCTGTCAAAAGTTTCAATAGTTCTTTCAAAACTTCATGAGGTGCAATGACATATGAGTTCACTTTTACAGGGTTGTGTTCGACCAAGTTTAACATTATACCTAAAGCTTGACAAATCTTCTCTCTGAGTTTGAAGTTTGTCTTTCAGTTGTTGGTAGTCATTTCGAATATCTGCAACAGAACTTAAGTCTCTGCTAACTTCAGGATATGTTGGTTCTTTTACAGGAACAATTGTTATACCATCTTCGTCTTCGTATGGTTTCCCCACTTCAACATCTCTGTCTTTGACATTGACAATAACACTTTGACTGTTTGTTTGAGTTGGTGAATTTAACTTCACATCTGCCACCGCCATTAAACCTTTTGAAACACTCACGCTTCTATTTTTCGGAAATGACATTTTACTTAGAATAAAAAGATGGACGTATTCGAGTATCTCTTCGAATTGAAGCAGAACAAAGTTTACACACACAAACAATACAAATACATTGACAGAATAGTTCTTTATACAAACAATGGTAAATGTTATAGAATAGCAATATTTGCTGAACCTAAATATTTTCATAAAGCAAAGAAAGTTGGTATAACTGAAATGGTGAAAGTTCTTGAAGCAGACAAAAATATAACTTCAAAACTTACAGATATTTCTAAAGGAAAGTTTATAATACAATATTATGTCAAAACTGGCGTACTGTCAATATTTGACGGAGAGAAGTCAGTTCAAGAACAACTTACTGACCTGCTGCCAAAATCTGCTCGATGGAAGCTGTCGTTATGCCAATCTGAGGAGCCCCAGCAGGTTTCATCGAACGAATCTTCAAAAGAGCATCTTCCGTGAAAAGTGCTATTGGTTTTGTAAACTTCTTTGCTCTCAGTTCATCTGGACCGTCTCTGTCACCAGTATATTGTATTTGAACTGTACCAACAGTTGAAATACCACCCATAAAGTCTTCTGAGTCAGCAAATGGAATGCCAAGCCAAAAGTTTGAACGGTCTCCATTTGTATATTGAGTTTTTTGACCTCCTGTATGAGTCCATACTTTTCACATATGGCATAATAGAACTTTGCATTTCAGGGTTAATGGTTGTTGTGAAGTTGTTGTTAAAGTTCATAGCATCTAATGTCAAGTTGTATGACCTCATATCCTCAACTGTAGAATATTCTTCTCTTGGATAATATTTGCCATCTATGTTTATATGATATTTAATACCGGGGTTGTAGAAACAAGAATAGTCATTTATAGTTCGTCTGAACAGTACAAACATAGTATCTGCATGTTTCATTGCAGTTGTTAAAGCAATATCTGTTCTTGCACCTGGGTCAGCACTTTGGTTTCCAACTTCACCTGCAAAGTCTTTGACAGATATTTGGTGTATAGGGAACATAAGTGGAACTGCAATATATTTGGCAGCTAAAGCATTTGAAATATCTGGGTCCAACATATAGACTGCAAGTCTGCTTTCTATTCTCTTGCATTCAAATTTTTCGCATGTGAACTTAACTGGGTCCCAAGCAGTTCCAGCAGCATTGAAATAATAGTTTACTTCATTGTTGAAGTTTGAGAAACCAAAAGTCTAAGTCAACTTTGTCTTTGCAAAAGTCACAGAACTTGGCTCCACCAGTTCCAGCTACAGTAATGCTGAATGGGTCTTGTGTTGGTGCAATGACTAAGTTATTTTTGCTTGGAGTAAGTTCAATAGAAATTTTTCCTGCCCAGTTTGGCAAGTATCTTAAAAACCTGAAGATGAGGAAAGATGACAAAGGAACTCTAAGTTTCAGTTTTACTTTAGTGGCAGCAGTTCCATCTGAACCAGAAAGGTTAACATAAACTCCTGGAACGTTAGGGTCAAGTCTTCTTATTTTCTCAATAGTTGCATACTGGTCTGTTTGTTCTCTAGCTTGTGGTTGTACTGAGTTTCTCAAAGCGAACCATTCATAGTTTGCCCATGTTACTGTTTGAACTAAGTCAGAGTTAGAATATATCTTATATCCCATGAAAACTTCTGGAGCATATTGGTATCCGACATAGAAAATTCCATTGCAACCTTTCTTGTCAGACAACTTGGCAGAAGGTTTTATTTCAATGTCTTGTTCCACGTATAAGAATGAGTTGTCAATAGAAATAATATGAAACCTGTCGCAAGCAATATCTACTGTTGTTGAAGAACCTTCTCCAAACTCACCTACGTTTCCATAAGAAACAGCAGTTGTATATTCGTAAGTTCCAGGAACTATTTCTGACCTTCTAATGGCATTGTCGCATTCGTTATACCATTCGGAAACATTTCCGTTCATGGCATCCAAAACTGTTGGCGTTATATTCTGAGCGGCGTACATTTCATATGGGTAAAAATATAGAATAGTTGGATTTATTTGTCATAATTGTTTCGTACCAAGCTTTACTTTCTTCCTGGCTGAGTTTTCAACTGAATCTTTAACTCTTCTTTTTCCTTCATTGCCACTACTTTCACTAGATGAAGTTACTTCTTCACTACTTTCACTTTGTTCTACTCTTCTTCTTTGGTGTCGCTTTTGGTAACTTGCCCTCTGCTTCAAGTTGTTGCATCTTTGCCTCATGTTCACCTAGTATGTTGTAAATTTCCCATGTCCTTTTTGCCTTTGGGCTCTGGTCGCCCATCTCAGGTAACCTATATCCTAGAAAGATTTTGTCATAGTTTGTATTTGAGTCGTCGCTTATTGTTTGCATGACTCTTTCCTGAGTTTCCGGTTCAAGCTCTTCAAATATAGCTTGTCCATATGGAATATGCTCGTTTCCAAATATATGTTTTTGTAGCCATTCTGGTTTTCTTTCCATGTTACCAATAATATCTTTTGTGAATGGGAAAGCTTTTACCCAATGTTTCAGTCTTGCGTCATTTATTTCTGTAGTTGGTTTTATTTTGTCAAGGAACATGTTTTTCAATACTAACATTTCATTTGGTACTGTCCATTTGAGTTTTCTTAAATATTCATCCCTTCTCGGTTCATTGTCTGCAAAGTAAGTTTTTATGACATTTTGCAAACTTTCGTTTGCAAGGTCATGTACAATAGGTTCTCTTCCTTCTATCTCCCTAACTTTCTTTCTAAACTCTTCACCAAATATACCATCTTTATGGTTCTGTGTAGTTCTTTGAGATAAATGTTTTAGAACGTCAGGTGTTATATTTCCATCAGCCATGTTCATTTCATACTGGTCCAAAATATCTGCATGTTTCATATCTTTTCAATGGCATTAAAGCCGCGCTGAAAATACCAGCTATATCTGGTTCACCATTCACTTCCATTGCGTCTACAACTTCTTGGAATTGTGGTTGTAAGTTTATGAACCACCTATCCGGATTAGCTTTATGACCCCATCTCATTGTAGTTCCATAGTCTGCAGAAACAAAAGTAGGTTTGTTTCCATATTGGTTAGGTTCTGAATGAACTTTAAACAATGTTTCATTTCTATATGTTTTGGTGAAATTTAACCTTTTATTTTCACCGAGTTCAGCCAAAGATTGAACGTTATATGGTCGTAAGTAAAAAGGATTGTTGTATTTGCGTACACTTTCTTTCAGTTCTTCCATTCTATGCTGAATATTTTCATCTGATGTTGGAGTCTTTTGTATGTCGGCGAACATTTTTCGATATTCTTCTACTATGTCAGCTGAATTTTTCTTAGACTCTTGGAAAGATTCCATATTCCCCGCATACACTTGTTGAGGGTCAAGATTTTTCGGCTGTTCCAAATCTTCATCTAGTTCTGTGAAGTTAGTTTCCAAAGGAGGGACTTGTTCGTTTCCTTCTGGCTCTTCTAGCTGTTGTTGCTGAACTATTTCTTCCATGTCTGGTTGTATCTGAACTTCTTCCTGTGGAGTTTCTTGTACCTCATCTGCTGGCATTTCATATATTCCGAGACCGTTTTTAACAAGTTCCCTATTTAAGTCATCCGCATTCATAACCCTTTCTTCTTTCGTTCCGTCTCTATTTTTTACGCGTTTCATGAAGAGAGTTGAATTATCATTTAGCTCTGACACCAAATATCTCGGAGTAAATTCAGTCATGTCATTTGGATGATATGCTATTAAATCATATCCCTTAGCGAGCTTGTATTTTCCAGGTTTGAAATTATATCCCATTTGGTGCTGAACCATAAAGCTAAATAGGTTCGGGTCAGTATTTCCTTCCTTGAACTTTCTAATAGCTTCTTTATATCTGTCACTAAAGTCAAGAGTATCTGGGTAACCATAATTTTCCTTAAGCATTTTTAAGAATTCTTGGTTTCCTTGTTCTCTACTTCTTTTATGTCCTTGCTCTGTTTGTGGTTGTTGCTGTGCAGTGTTTTGAACTGTTGGTTGTGGTGCTGGATTTTGAACTGTTGGTTGCTGTGCTGGATTTTGAACTGTTGGTTTTGGTGCATGCCTGTGTCTGTGTCCATGTGACGATGTAAATGTTTTAGGTAGTCCTGGTGCAGGTGCTTCTCTTGGAGGGTTTGGTGGTATATAAGTTCCACTAGCTAGTATATAAGTTCCACCAGCTGGTATATAAGTTCCACCAGCTGGCACATATGTTCCATCTGCAGCATAATGTCCTACCTGACTTTTCGTTTTTAAGAAAGCATTTACTAGGTCTGTTTTGGTCTGTTGTAACTCTTTTTCTTGACTTTCCACAACAGTTGCTCTAACGGCGTCATAGGCACTTTGAACTGCCTGTCTCGTTGCTGCATCTGTTATTTTCGTCATATTTTGTGCTACTTCTCTTAACTCTTTGTCGAAACCTTCAGACTTCAGTTTCTTTCCAGATGAGAAGTCGTTCACTAGTTTCACCTTAAAGAGCTTTCGAAAGGCGTTCTTAAAGTCAGCATTTCATTAAAGCTTCATTTACGAACTGTTTTCATCCGCTTGTTATTTTTTTGTCCTTATGACCCTATTAGTTGGGTTGCGCTTTGGCGTTGGCTTGGCATAATAACAGCATATTACTTTTTTATTATTCGCAGCTTTTTCAATTGCCTTTTGCATGGCTGCGTCGTTATTTTACTTTCTGTGCTAAGTTTTTCATACTGTAACGGTTTGGTTTGCAACTGTTAAAAAGTTTTTCATGCCTTTACATTTGCTTCAACTTCTATTTTTATAACTCATCCGCTATCCATATATGTATTCATGGCTTTTTGTTTTATTTCATTCATCTTCAGTACTTTATATTGAGTAGTATGGTTTTTCCCAAATTTATAACATCGTTGTTCCATTTTTGCTACTTCTGCTGCTTTTTTCTGACACCCACAAAGTAAGTTGTTTACAGCATATTCTCTGTTACTTAGTTGTTTCACGTTTGTATTCTTTCTTTGCTTCTTTTTCTCTAGGGTTTTAACTCTCATTGAGTTTCCGTTATGTGTGTCTAGGTGTTCATATTCTAGTTTTCTTTCGTTTTCACTTATTGTGGTGGTTTCTGTAATGTCTATGGTTTTGACCTTTTTGACATCTGTTTATTTGTTTTTTGAGTGAACTAGAACAATTTGACTTTGAGGTTATAAGCTGTCCCGGTTTTCCCTGCAGCCCACCCATAGCCTGCCATTTTAGCTAAAAGATGCCAGCTCTTAAACCTCACCTCTGTGCACCAATAATACTCGGTTTAAAAGCATAGGGTTGCTTGACATTTGGTTGCAAACATAGTGGGTCAATTCATCATTTGTTGTTTGCAACTGTTGTTGTTGGTTCAGTTTAACTTATTTGGAATGTTTCAATGCTCGCTTCCTCTTACGTATATTCTTTCGTAACGCTTACGTCGGCATTTTAAGTAGAAGTAAAAAACGGTTTTTTGACAGATGTTTATATGACAGACTTTTGTTCAGCCACCAAAACTAACTCGGTCAAGTGTTGTCAGTTTTGTAAAATAACCGTCGCTATCTTGTTTTTAAAAAGGGGGGGAAGGCCTTCTCAAAGTATACTTCCTTTTGGTATATACGTCCCGTCACTTTTCTGTAGCGTCACGATAGACCCTTACTTGTCGGAACAAAAGTATTAGCTTATTTTTGAGTGCTCTACAAAAAAGTCCAACGCTGGTCGGCTGGGGTTTCGGGTCTCCTCTTTGGGTCTTGGGCAAAATTTCTTAAGGGGCTAGAAGGGCGCAGCACTGAAGCCCCACTATCTTTTTTTTTTTTGACCATTTATCAAATTAAGTAGAAATAGTGTGGTACATTTATATCAAAAAATAGTTAAAATTTGTTTGAAAAAAAAAATATTCGATTTAGCAACAAATTAATAGAAGTGAAAATATAAATTCTTACTTAAGAATATTAATGATTAGTGGTGATATAAAAGCTAAATTTTAATTAAGAAGCAAAATCAAATAGTTGATCCTTATATTATTATTAAGAAAAAAACAATTTTTTGGCATTAATGGGATGGTCCTGTATGCCAAGATTAAAATGAATTGAGTTTCGAGAGTGAGACAGTAATAATTTTTTTTTTTGATTTTCGCATTTGATATCATAAATATTAAAATGGGATAAAATTAATGATATATTTATAAGGGTAGATTTTCAGAATATATAACATATCAAAGAAAATGACAAATTTTTTTCTTAATTTTTTTATTTTAACAATAAATTAGCTCCAAATTTCGATCAACAACAATGGTTTATTGTCTAAATATTCATATATATAATGAATGCCGATAATTGGTGAGATGAAGTTAGAGGCGGTTTAAAAATGTATGGCCTACAAGCAAAAGGAATGTTACATGCTTGAAGCCGGGTTGGGTTGCCCGAATCTTCGCTCCTGAGATCTCACGGAAGATCGCCCCAATTTCAGGAAAAACGCCTCCCTTGGTGCGCTTGAGCTGCCTGCATCAGTTTAGCAGATCATTTTTGTTATTTGTGCTTTAGGTTGTTAGCGAGCTTTAAATGTTAGATTCAATGTATTCCAGATGCGTATGAAAATCATCATCGCATTAGACAAGCAAACTTTCTTTAATGTTGAAAGTAGTATGCCAGGATAGAGTGTCGTGATGACAATTTTAATAAATTAGTGGGATCACCCTAAAAGTTTAGATGTGGGAAGTGATTTCCCATTGGGATTAATCGAGATGATAAACATTGCTCACAATTTCCCACATTTTGGCACTTTTTTTTGTACGTTTGGTCTAAAAATTGTGAGGAAGATTCTCACAATAATGTCAATAATGTGAAGCGAATTATTTTGGTATTATGCCTCTACGATTACATGTTTGACTAATTTCTTTCAATACGTTTTTTTTGATGAAATTCTATTATAATGTTTCATTACCGACTTTCAGAACGAGCTGTAACTTGTTCCGGGGTCATCGTTAACGCTCTTATCCTGTGTAGTGACATTAATTTTTTCAAAAAAACTCAGATTGCTTTATCTTTAATAAATTTTCAGTGTAATAGATAAAAATGCACGATGTTTCCACGCTAATGAATACTTTGATAGCTCAATTCTTGTAAATTCGGTATGAAAAAATCGATATGTATTACTACTTTAACTTCAAAAAAATGGTTGTCATTAAAATTTAAAAGACTTTAGTTGTAGTCTTTAACATATATAGCATTTTAAGTCCGACAAGTGGAGTAATAGAAATAGCGTCTGTTGAAATATAATTAACAATTGTAAGTATATGTAAGGTCAATGTTCGAGTATTGCCTAATAAATAAACGTCCGCGATTTTCTTTACTACAAGAAATCAAATACTTAATATATAGAAAGCAACAGTAAAAACTTTTAGTAGATTCAAAAAGAAAGTTGACTAAAGAGAATCTTTTTTAAGTTAAGTAATTTTAGTTTTTTTGAAGTACTGAGATCGAATAAACCTGGTATTGTTATTTTAATTACTATAGATAATACGTATTTTTACATAGTAAGAAAAGTTTAGAGAATTGAATTGAAATAAAAAATTGAGAAAAAAAATAAAGCTTTCTATATAAAATATTCATGATTAATATTTTATTTGATTGAGTTAAAGTTATCAATTAATTTGGTTCAGTTTAAATTATTGTATTTAAAAATATTTAGAAATATTTAAACAATAATGATTCATATACTTATCCCGAGTGGTTAAATCGTTGCAGAAAGATAAAATGATAATAATTTGATATATCTTAAATTTAAGAAATTTTAAATGGTGGAAAAAAATAGAAAAGAATGATAGAAAAAAATAGACAAAATATTGGAGACTTTCTAATTAAGGAATGAAAGACTTGTCATTTTTAATTTCGAATTCATAGCATGAAGAATATTGGTAAGTACATTAAATGTATATATAATAGTATCATCTTGTCATCAAATATTTCAATCTACTTATAAAAAATATTAAAAAAATCATAAAAATGTTTATTATATAACGATAAAGTTGAATAGAAATCATGTTACATATTATTGAAATAATCATCTTCGGCAATTTCAATGTTTTCTAATCTTTTCATTTATTTTGTTTCTTCCTAAATTATTGAATTGTCCATCTAAGTATTTGATGCACTTGACATGATACCTTTCAAATTTCAATATCTCCTGAAATCAATTACCAAGAATGTTTGGACAAATCCTTAATATTTTTTCATTATATCCTCAGACATTAATGATATTTCCAGACCAAATGTCTTTCAAATAACTGAATCTCTTTCATTTATTTTTTTTCAATTTATGAAATAATTACTGTTATGAATGTCACTTGTGTTTATCTGCCCGTGCATATCGATGCAAAAATCGCTAAATCCCACTTCATTAAAGTGTGTCCGCTTTAAAAATTGGTGGATGTGTGAATATATCAATATTTGTATTTAACCACTTTTTGTTGTACGATTCTACGCCATTATTAGATAATAATATTGTCGAATACTTTGAGCCTTGCCTTGATTGAATTTATAGCGTTGTTGCTTCCATGTTTTAAATAAAGTATTTTGCAAATTCATTTGTATTCTTGAAATTGCATTTAATTTTATTACAGAACGCATAATCAAAAACTTCTTCTGGCTATGAAAATGGAGATAGCGCATAATAATTTAAAAGAATTTTATGTTAAGAATCTTTTGGATCACATTTTTTTTCTTGAAATTCTTAAACTAATGCTTGCAATAAAGTGATATTGCATCTCAGTCAATATGTTTGCTCTCCTTTTCTTTATAAATTGAGCCTTGAAAGTTGGCTTTTCGAAAATTCAGTTGTTAATAGACATCAAATGTTGATAAAGGAATTTTAATATCAGTTATCATACTCCATAAATACTAAATACTCTTGTGATAATCAGTTTTCCTGTTCTTTCCCGTCATGATTTATATGTAAAAAGGTAGATACGGTTTGAGTTGCCTTGTCAAAAATTGACAAATTTAATAATTGCCATTCATTAATTGATACAGGAAGACTTTGAAGTTCCGATATAATAAAACCAATGTGATGAAATACCCCGTGCAAACCGAATGAAACGTTCCAATTCCAAAAAATAACTAGGCAATTATCATTTTTGTGGCTTTGGGTAATAAAATTGATCTTTGATAAAAATTCTAACATTTTCATTAATAAGATCAATTTCGATATTTGACAGATACTCTTAGCAGTGTTGGACTTTTGTTATATGAATTGAACATATAAGTCCAGCGGGTTGTTAGCATTGATTACTATTGACTTTCTGATATGTTTATGACTGAAATTTAAGACGTGGCTTCGGACTACACGTATATTTATCACTTCAATATCAATTGGAGGATATATTCGATTGAATTCTGATTATC